TCTAAGTATATTATTATATTAGTAGTATATTTTAAAAACATAAGTCGATATTAGTATTCAACACAATAATAAATTATAATAATTTAACTAATAGCTTCTACTGCTGAGTTGTATTAAGATAAGTAATAAAAATAAATATATATTTATTTATGATTTATTTATTTCTGATACCTCATCGAAAAGCTAATTAATACAGATAGAATTTTGATTGATTAGAGTGAATACTATGCGAACATATTAGTGGGCAAACCAGGACAGATATTTTCTGTGATTTTTGACACAGCATGGGGTGACATGTGGATACCTACAAAATTATGTTCAAAAAAACTATATCCGATTTGCAGTAAGTGCTTAAAATTTGATTCATACGCTATAATTTTATAATTAATTCTTTGCAACCTATATATAATGATCGTTTGTTGTTCTTCTTATATTTTATGTTTCTCAAAGAAACGAAACACTTATATGATCCAGATATTTCGTCATCGCACAAGTCTATCGATCCAACACCATTTAATGTCGATGGATTAGTAGGGAATTTAACATGTGACACTGTTGTGGTAAGACGTGATGATTAAGACATATTAAAATAATTATAAATCTATGACAGAATAGACAAAGCATGAAATGCATTATACCTTTGATATTTACGAATTATTATATGSTTAAAAGTTCCAAAAAAAATATTAATGCATAACATAATTTAAATAACTGGAATTCAATCAGTCTCATATYAGTCATATCAATATAATAAATATTAAAACAAATAAAGTCTGCGGTGACCGTATTATTTAATTTCATGATTTTCCTACTTACCTTGATCCACCTCATACATAATTTATGATAAATTKCGTTGTTTAAACACGATAGTTTAAACTATCAATATTATCCTTTATTTTATCATTAATTATTATTTAGTAAACCTTGGTGATCAATATTTCACCGCGTGGAAATTGTTAGGCACGTAATTATTTAGATGCAAGTTAAATCACTAATCATCCAAAGTTGATTGTACCATAATAGGTGATGGCTTAGATATTTTATTAGATATACATTTTATACATCTTCAGTTTACTAAGTATATGCGCTTAATATGAGTAAGACATATACACTGGTATAGCTAAATATAGTATAATTATAATTTAATTAAAACTTGGTCAAATATCTTCCTCTAGTTAAATTWAAATTTTTTATTTTTTTTTAGATATTGAGCGGAGTGATGAATTATAAATTATTTTTTCTGGCATCACAGTCATAAGTCATTTTTGGGAACTAAAAATTATTTAATTTTAAACTTTAAAATATGTGATATGTGGTAGATAATTTGGTTATAAATGTTAACATAGTGTAATTGAACGAAAAAATTCAAAACACTTTTAAAAATTTAAAAATGTAATCGAGAATTACTATCCAATGCCAGTTTTATAAAAATTAATAAAAAAAAACACACACATCATGGTATAATCAATACATTCATCGCTCCGCTTAGAATCTAAAATTGACGTGATTCGAAGACTTAAATATTTCATTAAATGTTTTTTCTATATAATATATAGCATTTTTTACACATGATGATAATCTCAAGAAATTTCGACCTTTTGTGCTATTTTTGGGTACCTATTTTAAAGTTTTTATCATTTATTTTTTGAATTTTTGTAT